CCCCCCCCCCCCTTGGAGATCTGGTGCCCCCTCAGACTCAGGAGGCACCAGTCACCCATGAAATTAAGGACAAGAGATGGAAATGAGATCTCATCTCACCCTTTGGCCAGCATAGAACTGGTCTCTGGGGTATATTTCTAAATGATTAGTCTTAAGAGCAGGCAAGGGGAGGTGGAACCACTGTCCAATACGTCTGAGCAGCTAAGGGCATGGGGTATGAGTAGCGCACACTGGCATGCAATAAGACTGGGCAGCCCTAAAGAAGCACTTTACTCCTGTGCCTTAAGTCTCAAGCTGGCAGCCTGTAGCCCAGCTTGGTCTGACAGAAGAAGTGAGGGAAGGAAGGATGTTCGTGAGTACATGCACATAACGAAATAAATGAGTGATTATATCAAAGTCCAGAATCCCAAAACAAAAGCTCTTTTATCAGAGAACATCAAATAAAAGTGCTTATTATCAGAGTGAACACAGATAAAATGGCCAAGCTACCCCTCTAGGCTGCCTTAAGGTAGAAGGCTTCAGTGATCAGGGAAGTGGTTTAAAATTGCTGATGTAAATCTGGGGTTTTGCCACCTTCGAGGTACCCTGGCTGTAGATGGAGATAAACATGCTGAGAAAGGTCAACCATTATAACTTTGTAGTGTGGGCCAAGCCTAAGTCAGCAGCACAGCCCTACTCATGCCCTCCTTGCCACTCTGGTTCTCATTCTGTTCCTGGCAGGTGCAGCCAGTTCTGAATAACTTTGTCTGCATGCCTCCCTCTTCTTGGTTGCTTTTTGGTTTACTTAAATCTTGGATCTTGAGGCCACAAAGCCTTGAGTACCTTGCATTTCCCTTTTCTGCTTAGACTTTTAAGTACTCTAGGGCACATACATGTATACACACACACACACACGGCTCTGTGAATTGTAAATTTACTATTGTAAATTGGCTGGAATATATTTCTGAATATGTGTTGCCCAAGTGTATATTCATGCTCCTCTCTCAAGCTTTCTTCATCTGATGCAGGACTTCTGATTTCCAAACCTGATGTGGTGTCTCAGCTGGAGCAGGGGGAAGATCCATGGGTCTTGGATCTCCAGGGCTCTGAGGAAAAGAAGCCCCTGAGCTGGACCCATGCAGGTAAGGGGTGGGTTAAACTGTAGAGCAGGGGTGGCACGCTGGCGAGGTGGTTGTAGCAAGTAGGGAAGGGAGCAGAAAGCAGAACAGCAGATTAGGCATAAGCAGAAAGCAAAACAGGTGACTGGGCAGGGGAAAGGGATCAGAGAGACACTCGGGGAAGGTCTGGGGCCAATGTGTGGCATACCTGCTGAAAAGATTTGCCCCCACTGCTCTAAACTATGTGTTTGCAAAGTTGTTAGCTAGGATTCTTCATAACGCTGTGGTTTGGCCTCATCTCACCCAAATCAGCTGTATGGCCAGCAGGTACTCTGTGTTCAGATACCACAGAAGTCTTTGTGACATCCTGACCTGCATCTAGCACTAGTTCCTTCCCTTGAATGTTCAGATGGGATTTGGAGGACAGCTTGTCCCCTTTCCCTTGAGGGTTTAGTGGGTTTCAGATCCTATTTCCCCAACGCCTATTTTTGTTTATTCTGCCTGCTTCCAGAGGCTTTCCTGTCTCCTGGCACCGAGAATGCCTCATCTCTGGATCTTTTCCCTTTCCTAGCAGGCAGTGGGATGAGTGAGAACGATGAGGACAGTCCCCAGGAGGAGGGTCCTTGGCAGGTGGAACCACAGAAGAGGTCACTGGGAAGACCCAGAGAGAGTGACTGTGCACGAGGAGAGGCCTCTAGGAGTGACCTTGGCACAGAGAGGCAAGTGGAAACCCTCATGAGCAAGGAACAGGGTAAATCAACCACCCACCAGAATGGAGCCTCCAGTGATCTACACATGACTAAGATGCAGCAGCTGGCAGAGGGGCAGAACGCGTGTCCAGACTGTGGAAAAATCTTCAGTTGCAACTCGCACCTTGTCAGACATCAGAGAACCCACACAGGAGAGAAGCCCTACAAATGCCCTGACTGTGGGAAAAGCTTCAGACAGAGCTCCCATGTGATGATACATCAGAGAATCCACACAGGAGTGAGACCCTACAAGTGTGATGAGTGTGGGAAAGGCTTCCATTGCAGTACGCACCTTGTCCGGCACCAGAGACTACACACAACGGAGAAACGTCGCAATTTCCCTGCCTGGGCTTCTGTGAACAGCTTATTTCCTGCACCTATGAGTATCCAGCTCCCTGTCTGTGGAGTTGGAGGGCAGCTGCAGGTGCCCCCGGGCTGCTCAGTAAATCTCTGGCTCTGCCTCCTTTAGAAAACCCCAGGAAAGGCAGGAGACATTGCAGTCCTCTCCACCTCGGCCTGGCTGCCAGACCGTTTCTACCTCTGCTGCTGGGATGAGAAAGAATGAACTTCTGTCTGGACTCAAATACCTCTCCACTAACCAAGTCATGTTCCTCCATGGAGGATGCTTGCACGAAACATCCTTTTTCTAGCCAGCACACTCTCTCTGCCGCATCAGCTGTGATGTGGGTTGTGACTCTCTCTTGTCTGAAGCCATTGATTTATAGAACAGGTTTCCCCTAGACCCGTGTTGCTTGACTTCTTGGTCCTATGGGCCACAGGAGTGGTGTAAGGCATGTCTGCAGGCTGGATTGGGCCTTGGGGACCTGATGCCAAGGTGAAAGAACTGGTTCCGAGAGATTTCCTGTTTGCAGATGATGCAGCTTTGGTTGCTCACAGTGAATCTTCCCTGCAAAATCCTTTGGGCAGATTTTCTGAAACATGCAAGAGCTTCAGGATAGCAATTAATCTCAAGAAGACTGTGGTCATGTACCAAGGGGTGAAAGAACCAGTGCCTGACATCAGGATGAATTTTTTGGTGCTGTTGACAGTTTTTGCTACTTGGGTTCTATGATCAGCAGGAATCTCATACTGAACTAACAGAATTGGAAAAATCTTGACCTTCAGACTGAACTGACTGATAGAAATAGAAAAGAAGCTAAGAATTTGGGGCTATTACAGAAACGTGCATGGAAGAACAGCAAACTATCAGTGAAGGTGAATATATGAATCTACAAGACTTTTGTGCTGTCTTTCCTGCTTTATGGTTCAGAAATGTGGACTACATATGCTAGACTGAACAGCTTCCACATGAGATACCTGTGTAAGATCCTGAAAATAAAGTGGGAAGATCAAAATATGAAACACAGAGGTACTGAAATGCTCAGGACTAACACACTTAGAAACCACTCTCAAGAAGAGGAGCTTGCAATGGACTGGCTGTGTCAGGAGAATGGGAGAAGACCATACCCCCCAAATCTTTTGTATAGCTAGATTCAAGACAGCTATAGAAAATAGGGTGGCTCTAAGGCGGGGTACCATGACTGAAGTCATTTAACATCCTGGGATTGAAGTCATTTAACATCAATGTAGAAAGCTGGGAAGAGCATGTAGAATCCTGTCTGATCTGGAGGGGACATTTAGCACCGGGTGCAGCTCAACATGAAGTGGCTTTGATCCAGAGGATGGAAGCAAAATGAGAAAGAAGAAAACAGCATGCTGGAAACTTGGACTCTTAACTCAGACAACACACGGACCTGTGAAACTACGTCGCAGTGGATGTAGTCTTTCTGGACTTTAGGAAGGCCTTCGACACTGTCTCTCCCCCCATTCTCATTAAAAAATTAGGCGACTGTGGTGTCGATGCCTACACAGTCAGATGGGTGACAAATTGGCTAGATGGTTGCACCCAGAGAGTGGTGGTGGATGGGTCATTTTCGACCTGTAGGGATGTGGGCAGTGGGGTCCCCCAGGGCTCGGTCCTTGGGCCTGCACTGTTCAATATCTTCATCAGCGACTTGGACGAGGGGGTAAAAAGCACCCTGTTCAAATTCGCAGATGACGCTAAGATGTGGGAGGAAGTGGGCATGCTAGAAGGGAAGAATAGGCTGCAATCGAACCTAGACAGGTTACGGGGTGGGCGGGTCAGAACAGGATGGGTTTCAACACTGACAAGTGCAAGGTGTTGCACCTGGGGAGGAGGAACCAGCAACATACGTACAGGCTGGGGAACTCCCTTCTCATCAGTGCAGAGACAGAAAAGGATCTTGGAGTCATTATTGATTCCAAGATGAACATGGGCCACCAATGTAAGGGCGCGGTCAGGAAAGTTAACTGCACCATGTCATGCATCCACAGATGCATCATGAGCAGGTCCAAGGAGGTGATCCTCCCCCTCTATGCGACACTGGTCAGGCTGCAGTTGGAGTACTGCATCCAGTTCTGGGCGCCGCACTTCAGGAGGGATGTGGACAGCATGGAGAGGGTCCAGAGGAGGGCCACCCACATGATCGGGGGCAGCAGGGCAGGCCCTACGAGGAGAGGCTACGGGACCCGAACCTGGTCAGCCTCCACAAGAGAAGGCTGAGAGTGGATCTGGTGGCCATCTATAAACTGGCCAAGGGAGACCAGCAGGCAATGGGAGAGTCCCTGTTCCCCCAAGCACTACCGGGAGTAACAAGGAATAACGGCCACAAGTTGACTGAGAGTAGATTCAGGCTAGATATCAGGAGGCGCTACTTCACAGTCAGGGCAGCTAGGATCTGGAACCAACTTCCAAGGGAAGTGGTGCTCGCTCCTACCCTGGGGGTCTTCAAAAGGAGGCTAGATAGGCACCTAGCCGGGGTCGTTTCACCCCAGCATCCTTTCCTGCCCACGGCAGGGGGTCGAACTTGATGATCTGCTCAGGTCCCTTCCGACCCTACCAACTATGAAACTTGTAAGAAGCTGTGTTGCTCTTGAATTGGCCTTTTAAGCCACAAATGGATTCATCAGGCATCTGACTTAGACCTCTTACATGCACACCATGATCCAGAAAATCCTGGGACATCCACACAGCTTCGCTCCTGGGACATCCATTGGAAGGGGAAAGCACGGCTGTTGCTCTGATGCACCTTGCTCATTTCCGGGGACGTTTCATCTCCTTGCTCTGGCTGGTACCTCTCCAAGGAGCTTCCTATCACTTAGTGTAGCACCCTCTATTTCTGGGGTGAATAAAACCTGCAAAAGTAGAAGCAGCCTGCAGTCTGGCTTGTGTGGTAGTTTTTAACCTGGGAGACAGCTTGCTAGCACTGAGGAGGAGCTCAGGCTGCCCTTTCCCTTCACATAGTACTTGGGAAGTGTACCCAGCCCCATTTTGCCTCCCCTTTGTTCTTCCAGTGCTCCACCCAGCATCTCAACCCCCCTCTCCCATTTCCTCACCTCTCAGTCTGCATCCCCTTCCTTCCCAGCTTTGAGGCTATAATGCTTCTCCCTGCCCTGCTCACTTACTGCTTTGGCTGATATGGTCTCTTTTCCCCCTCCTCCCTGTTTTCCTTTCACCCCTCTCTTTCCAGCTCCTTACAGGCCCAGCCTAAATCTCTGCTCATTTCCCACTACTTCTTCATCTTCCCCTGCTTCACCTTTTGTTGTGCAGGCAGGATGGGGAAGCCTAGAGGCCTGTGTGCAGTTCTGGCAAGGAGCTTTAATAAATAACCTAGCAGTCATCCAGATCTTCAGTAAAGGCACCTAGGCTTTGAGTTTTCCCTGCAGGTCACATCATTGCCCTGCACTTTGTGTGAGGCTACATGTGGGAACTGGAAATAGGGCAGAAAACAGGTGACCAGTCAGTCAGACTTTTTCCCCAAGGAAGGCATATGTGCACATGAACACTAAGGTTTTTCAAAGGATGGAACTAATCTCTAAACCCCCAAATGGCTTAGGTCCTTGAAGCTACTTCTCCCTGGGTGACATGGGAACTGAGATGTTTGAACCAATGCTAGAAAGGAGATGCTCCCAGCAGGGCATGGTGGTTTGGCTGGAGGAGAGAGGAGGGGTCCAGGTTATCTTGAAGCTACTTCTCCCTGGGTGACACGGGAACTGAGATGTTTGATTTTTTTTTTTGTAATTTGTATCCAAGACCAAATTATCCAATATGAATTTCAAATCCTAGAGCTCAGAACCATAAGTAGCCCTACTACCAGCAAACATCCACAACCCACACTTGGGACTTCAGATGTTTCCAAAACCTTTGGTGGGCATCCTACTTGCATGCCCAAGCCCAGAAACTTGAGGTTTGGATGCCCCTGAGTTTTGCTTGCTCTTAGCCATAAGGCCCTTGGAGCGAGCAAGGGAGGAGACTCCCTGTTTGAACTAATGCTAGCAAGGAGATGCTCCCAGCAGGGCATGGTGGTTTGGGTGGAGGGGAGAGGAGGTACCTGCCTCTGTCCTTTGCTCCTCCACTTCCTCCCCTCCAGCCCTACAGGTGCAGAGTCTCTGACCTGCAGGTTTTGTTCCAAGTCTATGAATTCTGCAGCATTTAGACACACAAAAGGCCAAAGAGGTATTTCCTAACCCCAGCAAGAGGTCACACAGCATTCGTATGTTATCCTGTCTGTGTTCTAAAGGTACCTCAGGCAGCTGGAGTGATGGGATCAGCATCTTGTTACAGAAATCCAGTCCTGGACAAAATTCCTCTCCTTTTTGAACAGGATGAACAGATGAGATCCTACGGGAGACCATTTCACTGTCAGCCTAGATAGTTATATAGAGCAATAACAGCTAAGGAGATTGCTAAAACCAGGCACCAGGTAGTCCCTGCAGCAGCTGTCTGATGTCAGGTCACTTTTCCTTCCTGAGCTTCCCACCTGTTTGCATCTTTGCCAAAGTGCCTTGAGAATGACCTCTGAGCTATGTAGTATTAATCAGTGCAAGAGGGCAAGTTGATTACATTTTTAAAATGCTGAATCAACTTAATTGTTTATTCCTGCTATAAATGCTGCTTGTCAGGAAGTGTCAATACCACCAATGAATGGAGTGAATACATTGATAAGGCACTTTGCATGATTTTTTTTTAAAGTCACTTATTTAAAGAGAAACAATTAGTTCATTTTGAAAAAGTCTTTCCACTGTGCGTTTCTTTAGATAACTACAAAAACACCAGCATGCCAGATAATGCAGTTGGTGAATCCTGTAATTCATGGGAGTAGGACCAGGCCCCAAAAGGCCACCTAGGAAATGCTTGCAGAACAGCAGCTGTCTGAAAGTTTGATTTCTCCCTGTATTGTGGCCTGTAATTGATCTCTTAAAACACACTTCAAAGGGTTTTTAATAACAAAGTTCTGTTGCTTCATAGATAAGACTGAAGGTAACTTTAACTTGTGGGGGTTTTTAATGGACTCATGTATCCCTTCTGGCAATCACAAGAAAGGCTGACTGCATTGATGTTTTATAAGTCAGAGCTTCTGACAAGGCAAAGTCTCTTTGTAAAATCTGGGATCTTCTGAGTTGCCCCCTTCCCTGTCAAAAAAAAATAGCTGCAAAGATATGTTATTTATTATTTCAAAGGGAGAGAGAAAGTGGCTCAAGGGATCAGTCACTGTCCTGAGAACTGCATAGACCTGGCTTCAGTTCCCAGCTTTGTCCCTCACCTGTGGGCTCTGGGCAAAATATTCCCTTTCTCTAGGCCTGTTTTCCCCCTCAGCTGTCTTTAACTCTTGCTGCAAGACTGTGAACAATTTGGCATAAAGACTTTCTCTTGCTGCTGGTTTGTACAGCACCTGACACCATGGGGCCCTGATAATGCATTAGAGCATTGGACTTTTTGCACACAGCCAGGAAAGAAGACTTGAGAAGCAATAAACATGAATATGTGTGTATCTGCAGTTCAAAGGTGCAACTGCTCTGTGCATCTCTGTTACCTGGATTACAGGTGAACTGGAGGTTGGCTTGCAGACAAGAGGCAAGAGACAGGTCTGCAGCCCGACCTTTTATTGCTTACACCTCAAAACTCAGACACTTATCCCAGAGTCTGTTTGGCTACCCATCACAGCACAACACAAGCTCTTACATATACTGGCCGGGGAGAGTCAAGAAGGGGAAGAGGATGGGGCACAGACTAGCAGCAGGTCTTTTTGAACGTGTGGAGTTCCCCAATTTTCCTCTGGTCTATACCGTGTACTTGGAGATGTCTAATAAACATTCTCTAATTGGTTTAATTCACTTTTTTTGTTCCACTGAAACGTATGGGACTGTATTGAACCAGCTGTTGCATGGACTCGGAAGGGATCGATCAGTTGGGATTTAAGTTACAGTTTGAGAAGGAACAGTTTCTTTTCTCTTTCCTTCACCATTATGAAATGCTCCTTGCCACCTTCAGTTTATGGCAGGGATGTCAAACATAGGGCCTGGGGGCCAAATCTGGCCCATGCAGCAGTATGGTCTGGCCCACAGGTTGCCGGACCAACCCTATGTATCAGCCCTGGCCCCACACGGTGCATGCAGCATGTAGGCTGGACACCATGCCGTGCACACTGCAGACAGCACAGGGGTTTGGTCTGGATCAACTGTGTTGCATGCAAAGTGCACCCTGTGCCAGCCCTGGAAACCATGTGGTACCCCACCAACCAACCCTGCGCATTGGCTCTGGGCCCAATGGCACAGGGGGTCTGGGGCATGGGCTGCATGTGGTGCCCCAGACTGATTCCCTTTGCAGTCTGCAGCACTGGGTCCAGCCTGTGCCCTGTGCCAGCCCTGGAGGCTGCTGTGTGGTGCACGGGCTGGACTTGGTGCTGCAGCTCTTCCATGAGGGGCTGGTTTGAGTCCAGCCCACAGACTGGATCAGGGACACTCCTCCAGCCCATGAGGCTAGATGAATTTGGTACCCCTGGTTTATGGCCTCCATTGACAAGCCTGCTTTAATAAACAAGCTAAGAAACATAACACAAGTATATGTCATTTTATTCTAATAAATACAATACATTTGGTTACATCAGTCACTGCTGGTAACATTTTAAAGTTGATGTTATGGAGCAGTGTATGTGGATAATCTAAGTTAAGATTTTCCTTTACAAAGTCTCTTTTCAGGCCTTGTTCTCTCTTTTTTAATTTGACCTTATTCCTGGTTTAGCTTGATTGCATCCTTTCGTTTACTGACCAAACTACTTGTCACAACTGCAAAGATTCACTTTCTGGTCACTCAGAAGCAGTCTTCGGGGCCTTCTGCTTTATTCAGATTCCTGCAGCTTGGTTTAGGTCCCTTGAAAATGGTGGCTATTCAGCCTCATGCTGGGAGTTTGCCAAACTTCAGGGTCTGAGGTCAACCCTGCCCTGTTTGCCTCCTCTCTAGCTCTTCCCACAGTTCCCCACTCCTGCACCCAGTCTTCTCTGCATTTCCTGGAAGGAGAGCAAAGTAATCTGCAGACCAGTTCCTAGAGGGGTGGTGAAGGGGAACCTTGGATACATCTTAGTAGGGTGTTTGAGAAAAATCAGCTCAGTGTGAACAGATTTGGCCCTGGCACTGTGGTATGTTGTAGATAAAAGCGGTCCCATGGGGCTCAGACTGACCTGAGCTCCAGTAGGAGGAGTGTAAACCTATGCTTAAGTGCCAAGCTCCTGGAGTAAAGTCAAGAACCTAGCACTAGGTGCTTAGGCTCACTAATGCTACTGGTATGAGTTTAGAAGAGCACACCCCAGACCCCCACATGCTAAGCAGAAAACTACCCAGGCCTAAGAAGTTGGCAACACCAAACTCACCTCTACCTCTCCTTGGAATGTAGGTGCCTGATTCAGGGCTGTCGGTGGTGCCTCCATCCACTCAGGATCCACAGCTTGGAATCCACTGGAGCCTCAGAGTAGGTGTCAATGACTATTTTTGAAAGACCTGAGCAGGGATCACTATTCACTTTTTAAAATGTAGCCGGGAGAGAAGGTGATGCTGCAGTTGCAAGTACCCACCTTTGATATAACAGCCTGGTGCAGCGAGTCTCAACCAGGGGGTTGTTAGGTGTGTATACACAACTCACAAAATAGATGCAAAGATTTCAAATAGGAAAAAACATTCTGACCTGTTGTGATCTTTTTGAGTTCTTTGCAGCAGAGGAATGGCTCTATTTTTTTTTCTTTAGAAATGAGTGAAAACTAAAAGCTAGCATTTTCTGAGGACGCTTCAAGCTTAAGCTTGAACCTGGACAGGTTAAGAACCACTGGCCTATCAATTAGAGCACTCGTTCCGGAAGTGGGAGACCTGGGTTTAGATTACTCCTGAGCCTTAAGAGCTTAAAGCTCATATCTTCCCATGTCCCAGGAGAGCAGCCTAATCACCTAGGTATGGGGTAGGGTTCCTTGAGCCCCCTCCACCCTTCCTGTAGAAGCTGGAGTACTGTGTGGCAAATATGGGAAGATTACTGGGGCAAAGAAAGTGCCCTACAGGGATTCTGACTCTGAGTGTTGTTGGGGCTCTCACTTGGGTCCCTGTCTTCTTCCAAGACTGTTAATGTACTTTACATTAAACAGTCATTGGATAACTGCCCTTCCCTCCCCACCTCCCCAAAGTAGCCTGGGAGGAGTGACTGGCACCACATACTCTTGCCTTCTCAACCAAGTGCCCTAACCAATAGGCAGACACGGCTACAACCTACACCCCCCAACCAATAGGCAGCACTATCAGGCTCCCTGTCTTTGGCCCTATTATTCTAGCATTCCTTTCTGCACAGTTGTACAGCTTCAACATGAAGGCAAGGTGGAAATGTCCCTGTACCTAGCCTAGCTTCTTTCCTGGATACTTTCTTGGGAGGTGGAAGATGTGGGTTTGAATTCCTTTAGGCTGAGGAAGGCTGAGAATCAAGGATTTTTATTTTTTGTCTGAGTACTTTAAGCACTACTCTATTAGGTGGGGAAAATGCCTGTTGAAGTTAGCGTGGTTCAGAGAAGAAACACAAAGAAACACAGGAAAGGCCTGGGAACAACCACAAATCTGTGGGAGGTCACAAGGACCCCAGTGAAAGCACACCCAGCAGAAAAGTCCTGCAGAATAAACCCCCTGCAGTGATCCCAACTGCAGAAAAAGCTTCAAGCAGTTCTTTGTCCCCATCCCTAATCACTGCTTCTACATGGGAGAGAAGCCCTATATCTGCTGCTGCTGTGGGGAAAGCTTCAGAAACTACTTTGGCCTCACTACCTCCCAGCAAACCCACGTAGGGGGAAGATGCTGCTTATGCAGCAAATGAGGGAAGATGCAGTCACCAGGACTTTGATCTTCGCTGCCTACCAGACAATTCACACAGGTAGTCACAGAACCGTAAAAATCAGGAATACTAGTGGCAGAGGTGATCTTGACCCATGTACACAATCACCCTCATCTCAAACTACGTTATTTAAATACTTTTTTAGAAAAAGAAATGTTTAAAAGATCCATGACTCAAGAGTGAATATATTAATGACCAATAAAACTGTTTTAATAATGTCAGACACAGTGCTAACAGTTTATGCATGTCCAAACATTTATTTTTCCACTGACTTTACAAAAGTTAACATTGAGAAGTAACTGAATTACAACCTTAACCATGGCCTACTTTGTCTACTGCCAACTCAGAGCTGTAAATATCTAGAAAATGTGTAGAAACAAAAGCTGTGCACCTAGTGCTTGCTTAACAAGTGTGGAGGGGTTATTCCAAGCTCTAGTCATGTTAATGGGAGTTGAAGACAACTGGAATATATCTGTTGACATCCCTGGGCTTTGGATCAGACTTAATGAGAAAGCTGTCATTCTATAAATTGAGTGCTATGCTTAACAGCTTTTGTGGCCAAGAAAATAACAGCTGAATTTTTTTCAAAGTAGAGCAGGGTATTTATCCACACAGCAGCCACTGAAATTTAGTGGGAGATATTTTTTTCCTCTGGAACAATTTATGGAAACCTCCAGCTTCACTGAAAAGCTAGCTTGGGTGCACCAATGAAGGGTGCAATGATAGTCCCCTTAAATGTACTTTATTCATTCGTGTCGTAAAACCAAGAACATTGAAAATATTCCAACATGATGTTCCCTGTTTCCCAAGCATCATTCCGAGCACCCCTAGACTGCTGGAAGAAGGGGTGGGGGGTAGAAGTCCTTTACTTGGCACACCTTGTCTTTGATTCCTGTAGTATAGAAACTGTTTTTATTCCTGCTTTGTAGCTGGGCAGATTATGAGAGGAGCTGAATTTTTACCTTCCTGGCTGAGGCCAGGGCTGAAGAAAGGCCGCAGCACCCCACAGAAGACCCCACTATAAGTATAGAGATGGGTCCTGTCAGTTGCATTATAAAATGACACCTCACCTGCCTTGTAATCCAGGAAAATCCCCACCTTGCTGGGCTTCACTTTCACAGTGAGAGTGGTTGGGCAGGAGAGCAAGGCCTTGTACTGATCTCCATTCCTCAGCCAAACTCTCCAGAATCCAGAGAAAGGGGATAATATGATATGTCCCTTCCTGCTCACAGACTCCTTGCACACTCCCACATCCCATTCAGGCTTATCTCCCAACTCCACCTCCCAGTAGTGCTTCCCAGAAGTGAACCTCTTTGAACCCAGCACCAAGATGTAAGGATCGAATCTTTCCAGATTGCCAGGCAGCTCCTGCCATATGCCTCCATGTCTCACACTTCTTCCATCCTCAGACAGCACAAGGGTAGGGTGAGCGGTGTCTGGGTCGAGAGTCATGTCCACTGCATGGGGTGCGGAGGAGAGAAGAGAGAGAGAGAAAAAGAGGGTCATTGTAAGGGACAAGATTTGGTCATTGTATTTAAAAGGAAATTAAACTCCAGTAATACTTCAGATAAATAAAAGAGGTGTAATAAAAAGTAAACTGGCTTGTGGTTATTGCAGAGGATCACAGGAAAATCAGTTGTGTGGTTAAGGCACTGGATGAAAATTAAATGCCAGGGCCTTGGATTCAGATCCTATATGACAAATGGACTAACATACCAAGACCAGTAATGCTTTTCAGACTCCAGGGCACTGTGGTTTCTGTAGTGACGTACAGTGGCCTCACAGAAGCTGTCTGGAAGGGGAAGTGGGATATGGAGGTTTCAACATTTGGGGCTTTTAGCCCTGAGAAGGCCATGGGAATGGTGAGACATGGGTAGTAGCTGAAAATCCCTGTGTTAAATGCTTGGTAGTGAAATGGCCAACAGTGTAGCCTTCTATACCTTCATCAATAGGTTTCAGAGTCGACAGTCCACATAGGACTGTCTACACTGCAGAACTGAGTGCTCCATCTCCCTGCTCCTGCTTCATGCTCATCAACCCCCAAAATGAGTCACTATGCGCAAAACCTAGGCTCCTGGTTGTTCATGGCCAGCAGTTTTGGGCTCCCTCTGGGCATCTCATCCCATCATTTCCAGGGTTGATGCACATGGAGTAGGAGCCAGTGGGCAGTGCTTGTTGCCTCTGCCATGGACTTAGTTTCAGGTCAACATGATTAGGGGTATTCAACCTTTTTGCCCCGTAAGCCAGCTGAGTGGCAAGGGGATGCTCTATGGACCAGATCGGATCCCATGTGCCAGGATTGGGCTGAAATGCCCAGGTTGGGTCCTGTACGGCCTTGGTTGGCCCCATACACTGGGGTCAGGCCCTGGTGCTGCTTATGCCAGGATGAGGGCCCTGGGGTCCATGCTGCCTTCACCCTGTCCTGCCTGGCCTTTGTGCCAGGGGCCCCTGCCCAGGCCCATGTTCTGGGGTCAGGGCTCCACGCCAGGATCAGGCTCCATGTTGCCAGGCACCCCGCATCTAGCACACAGGATCTACAGAATGAAAAATAGCACCTCTCTCCTCTCAGAGCTACTGAATCAACCCGTCTGCAGACTCAGGCAGAAATCACTCAAAAAAAATATTCTGGAGCCTGAATCTGAGGTTAGGGATTACATTCTGTGGCCAAGGGCAGAGGACTGTGGAGCACTAGTGGATAGTCTATGACTCTTTGCTTACCTTTGAATTTCTTTAAAATGTCAATAATATCAACATTAGGAATGTTGTAAAAGTTCTTCAGTTCTGTTAAAACAACTTCTGGTTTCTGCACATGAATATTTTCACTCCTGGGAAGAACACAGACCATGTTACTGCTCACACGGTCCATACAAGTATTTTGACAAATTTGTTAATAGAAGCCAAAGGGAAAAAATACCTGGTCAATATGTTTTTCACATCCTAAGACAGAAAGAAAAAATGAAATTTGCATTTTGAAGCTTCTTCAGTAAAATATTCAGAAACTTTCCCTGGATAATAAAATACATCCTTCTCCTGAAGGCTGTTTTCTTCCTGACTTGTTATGATAACATTCTATTTTCTAATTGTTATAACCATGTCAGCATATTTAAGTGAGGTGGAAGCATATAGTTTAAGAATCCTAACTCTAGACCTGAGGGTATAGGGATCTAGGATTTCGAAAATGGGAGTGCGACTGGTACTTCAGGAGAAACTGTGAACCTCTCTCCTTCCCTAGGCCGCACAGACTGCGCTGCTGCAGAAGCAGCTGAGGACTTTTTTGAGTTCTCAAAGCAGGTAAAAATTCATCCTTGGCTGAGCGAGGTACCCTGGGCAGCTACTCCCTGCAGCCTCCAGTTGGAGCAGGACAGGAGTGGCCTTGGGACTACCCATGCCTTCAGGTCAACTGGGGACAGTGGTGGTAGCTGGCAGTCCCCCATTCCTGCACTCAGCGGTCTAATTAGCAGGGTTTGCTGGTATATAAGTGTAGTTCTGCTACTTATATACCATTTACATACCATCACCATGGTGTCTGAGCACCCACAGTCAGTTAACAGGTATAGCCAGTGTAAATCGGCATTGATATCAAACCAGACCAGCAAACGATTGCGCTCATATGAATTTACTCTCACATACTCCCAACAGAGGTGCGTCAGAAAATCCCCATTATATAGATGAAAGGAAGTATGGTGCAGCAATTGAGTGAGTTGGCATACGTCACACAGGGTACCTATGCTAGCTTTCAAGTCCTACTCCTACGCCGTCCTCATCTTTGCAAGCTACTATGAAGGACAACTTCACAGAGCAGTCATTCTCCTTGTCACCTATGACTATGTCAATCAGTGCGGATGATCCCCATGGTACAGGATCTTGCATTAGCTAACCCTGACACACAATTCTGGAGCAGATAGAACCACTCATCAGGGGTTTTGTCATTTAAGCAACTCAAAACACAAATAACTATTTTTCCCATGGACCACTGGCTCCCATGACAGTGACATGGCTCTCTCTAGTTCAGCATGGACTGAGGGAGGATCTGTGATGCTTTCTCACCTTCAGGAGCTCGGCAGCTGGTTGCTGGCATTTCTCCTCTGCTTTGCTGATCTGTTCCAGTAGGGAGTCTCTCTGCTCAGAGAGCTTAATTAGATTCCCATGCAGCTTCTTCAGTGTCTTCTTCTCCTCCTGCCTCAGTCTCTGATGAAGGAGATCCTCTTCCATACTCAGGAAACAGTAGAGCTTCTCAAATTCTGTCTCAAGTTTCATTCTCTGGGTATGTGTTTTACACTTAAACAAAAAAAGAAAGAAACATTCACAAGGATGACAGAAAAATATCACTTTGGGTTGGGCTGGGAGGTAGTGTTGACAAAGAGAGATGCCAGGGGCAGATCTGCTCAGGACTGCAGGGTGTTTCTGTGGATGTTCCTGAGCCCTATGCCTGGTTTGTACATGACATGCTATGCAACTTTGGAGAAATTGTTTTATCTCCATGTCCTCTCCCCTCTTTGGTCTTTCTTGATCATTTAGCCTGAAAGCTGTTTTGGGCAAGAACTGCCCCTCAGCAAGTGTAAAAGTGCTCACCACAGTGATACCCAAGTTCTTATGTAGGACTTTGTGGGTGCATCTACACCAGACATTTACTGCACAGTAGATGAATTAGCTGCACAGTAAACACTGCATGTCTATATGTGCACCCATATTAGGGTGAAGTAAACTCATTTATTCTGCAGCAGGATAGTACTTATAAATACAAGGTAAGTGCCTTGCCATGGAGGATTAAAAACCTCTGCGGCAAGGCACGTATAGTTGCTGCCCCAGTTGGCTGGGACACAAGGTGCTTCAGTGCAGGGGCTGCCTGCTGGCTAGCCCAGCACTGAAGCCCCTTTGTGCCCCAGTCAGCCCCTTGACAGCATGTTGAGCCAGGGAAGCAGTCTCGGGCTGGCAGGCTGACTGCCTGGGCCCCCTGTCAGCTGGGGCTGCTCTGACCTGGCTCAAGGTGCTGTGATCCCAGGAGCATGTGTAAATGTGTGCCCAGGAGCAATAAACTCAGGCATGATAAGCACCAGAGCTTGTTGCAGCACATTAATATGTACACATAGACACGCCCTGCAGCAGCAGCATTGTTCCCTGTTTACAGATGGGGAAATCTAGCACAAGGAAGTGGAGGGTACAGTTTAGTCCACCTATTAGGCATGCAAGTGGACTATGGGCAGTTCTATTTAATCCTGATCAGGTCCCTGAAAATCAGTTAATGCCTCTTGGCTGCTTTTTTTTGTGACTCAGTTTTAAGGGGCAGATGATTCTGTGCAGTGTGCAGGGCTTTAATGTTTAGGTAGTGTTGTATTTAATAGGATTTGCAAGGGTTTTCCTTTCTTCCCTACTTCCTGTGGTCTCAGCCTGCTCTACTGTGCAACAGCCAGAGGCTGCTCTATTCCTTTATACAGAATGTATACAGAATACTCCCCATACTCTCCAGCAGTTTATTTAGCTTTCTGGACATGTTTGTGCATCTCTAGACAGTGACATCTACCATCATATTATACTTTCATTTGCTAGATTTAGAAATGTGCTTTACACTCTTGGTGGATTTACTTGAAAAAAAAAGGTGGGGGGCACAGATGTACCCACATATACAACCAGTGTGCAATGCACAACAGCAACTACTGGGCCCTGCACTGAGACGCAGACAGAAGCGCAGCTCCCAGCTGTAACTCAGCACAATTTCTGCAAAGTGTTCTGAATTACAACCATTACCTCAGACCAAACAGAAGTTCACTGCTGGTTCCAGGGGGAAGGGGAATCTAGCTGGGGCTGGGAGCCTGCAGCCAGGTTTCCAAAGCAACAGCCGAGGCTGTCTGCCAGAGCTTGCTGTTTTTAGAAAGGGAGGGGGGAAAGGCAGTGGAGGGATCTCTTTTTGGGCTCCCCAGCCAGTGTTGAAGGGTGGGGTGGGTGAACTGGTGTCCCCCTAGGGGACTCCAATACCCCTGCCCCACCCTCTGGTGGTGGGGGGGTCTGAAAAGTCTCAGACTGAATTCCCTCTGCTCCCTTCCCCCCTCCTGTTCTGAAAACAGCGGCAGGCTGGGAGCTCTGCAGATACAAGTTACAAAAAACCACATTGTTTGAAATGCCTTTATCCGATACCTTATGCAACAAGGGGTCAGATTTTCACCCGATTGGCCATTTTTGTAGCTGTCTGCAGCCATGCACTTGTGTTTGGTCCTAGCTATAAGCTGCTTTCTGTGGCCAGATCGGGCGAGAATTGTCACTTCTGTTTGCACAGTTGATCTTGGTTCTAGTGCTGCCTCAGCTGCTGGCCTGCTGGATGGTCCTTGTTAGGTTACTTCACTTCTTGGCTCCTCTGCTTCCTCTTCCACACTTTATCTACTTACATTTTAAGCAGATTTGCTCTTGTTGCATGGGCCTGTGCAGGACCCAGCAGCATGGAGCTGCGAGATGCTACTATAATTCAAATAGTGACTCATAATAATAGCACCTTAGTGTAGTGAAGAAAAGTGTGAAGTACATGGCTTTGACTGGACCATAGTGATATGAAATGGCCACATGACCGCAGCTGAAACTGCAAGATCACCATTTCTGTCTTTACAGGGTCTCTGCCCTTTGGTTCTGTTCACAATCACAAGGGGAACAGGTGTGGCATATTATGGCCTCTTTCCTGAAGGTGTGAAGGGGCTGACTCCAGCTAAATTTACTACCCATCTAGGTGGGAGTGAGGGATGCTAAACACTATGGGAATTGGGTCCTACATCTTCTAGAACCGTGGAAAACCCTACCATGGAAACATTATAAATACCATAATTAAAAGCCAGGACACTTGCCTTCCAGTCTGCTATCTTTTTCCCCTCCTGGTGTTTCAGCTCCTGAACCTTCTCAGCTTTCTCTTGTAAGAGACTTACAGCACTCTGCAGCTTCCTCTAACAAGAAAAACACATCCAATGAGCAGACTCTACATGATACCTGCAGGAAGTTTGAAAAGGTGAAATTGAACATAAGGAAGACATGGAGCAGGCTCTGCTCTCGTGATTCCTATCACCATTGCAGGAGCTGGGAGGTGGGCTTTTATTAGAGACTCAGATTTTGGCAATAGCCTGAGATGCAGATTTCTATAGCCTCAGACATGCAATAATGTGGGGGCTAAATCTGCAAAAGGGGAAGTACAAACATATGAGCAGTGGTTACATATGTGCAGACAAACACATAGCTCCTTCTCTACCCCCTAGTCTGTGTTTCCAGAACAGGACATAGCCCATAGAAATTGGTACCTGAATTTACTGATTTATTTTGCGTATGCATTATCTCGCTTTTACAACCAACACCACACTGCATCGGGCCATGTTAATGAAAGCACAAAGCGGTTTCAAGCTTGGCACAAGTTACAGAGGCAAAAGGGTAATTTTACAATGAAATTTTCTGGCGCTCAGGTGCTTGAGAGTCAACCTGCGGTTTCTTCCTAAGGTTGATAAGATCACAGAGGCACATGCATGAGTCTTATAGCTCAGGAATCCATCTCCCTTCAGTGGTGCTCAGGCCATGGCTGATTCTTAGCTCTGGGATGGCTCACACCCAAAGGGGTCATTGTTGCCCACCACAGGAAAGCTGGAAAAGCTGATGCAAAGGTAGCCCTTTCTCTATTTAAAATCAAAAGTTTCCTTTAGGTTTTGAAGCAAAGAATACAGTTGTCCCCTACCTTGTACTCCAGGGCAGCCTCCTCAATGGGAACCACATTGTGGGCCTGGTGCACCTCAGACTCCCGGCAGGTCATGCAGATGGGGACTTCATCCTCCTCACAAAACAGGTCCAGAGCCTCCTGGTGCTCTCCACATACTCTCTTTACCTTGGGCTCTTTGGCGTTTGCGGGCTTGTTTTTAGGGCTTCCTCTGCCGCACCATCCACCTGCTGTGTCAGCGTGGGCTCCTGGTGCTGTGTGTCCTTGCTGCACAGGGGACAGAAGTTTGGACCTGACTCCCGCTGGAAATAGGTTGCACAAAAACGGCAGAATGTATGTGCACAGCCTTTCATGGTCACTGGGATTTTAAAAGGCCCCTGGCAGCTTGCACAGACCTCCTGGCGTCGCGGGCGAGCACCTGACTTTGCGGCAGCCATGGCACCTTTGGGTGCAGAGAGGAGGTAGGTTTCGTTTCAGGGTTCCAGAAAAAGGTAGAGCCACTCCTGCAGCTGAGCTGGAAGTTATCCCTTGTGTGGCCTTTGGCACCTGATTTCCAAATGATGCACAGCCTGGAGTCACTGCCCTCTTGTGGCTTCAGCTGCCTTCTCTGGAGCACACCCACCTCTCTAGGCACATCCAGCAGGCTCCACCCTGAGCTGATTTCTGCTGAGGATCACCAGGGACCTGGATTTGCCATGGAAAAACATGGAGAAAAAAGTGGGAATCTTCATTTTTTTCTGCAGTTCCAGCCTGCAAGGGGCTGCTTGGGGCTGGGGGAGTGGGAAGCAGGGGGCTCCGGGCACACATGCACGTGGCAGGCAGGCAGCATGGGGAGGATGTCCCGCAGCTCCCTCCAGGTAAGTCTGTGGGGGGTGGGGCAGGGAGGGCACAGGTAATGTGGGAAGGACATGTCCTCCCCCCCCCCAGATTTCTGCACCGACAGCAGGGTGTGGGGCTGCAGGTGGGCCAGACCAGCTCCAGACAGGAGCTGACTCTGCAGCCCAGTGGACAGGACCTGATGTGGAGTGCTGTGCCACCATGGCCACCAAGGTGAGGCCCCCTTGCCTGCCCGACAGTAGCAGGGGCACATCTCTGCACTGCTATCGCTGCCATACCTCACCTTGGTGGCCTTGGCACCCGCTGGGCCATGGAGGCAGCTGCTTCCTGGAGCTGGCCCAACCCCACTGCAGCCCCACACCTGCTGTGGGCATAGAAATCTGGGAGGCACATGCCCCCCTGGCTCCCAACACATCGCCTGTGCCCCCCAATATGTCACTTGTGCCCACATCCCCCTCCCTGCATGCCCACCCCTTCCTCATATACTGGGGGCAGGGGAAGTGGGTCAGGCACCAGCAGGGCTGTGGGGGCTGTGTGTCGGGTGTGAGGGGTATGGGCAGGGCTGGTGGCGGGGCGGGGTGGTGTGAATTGAGAGTGAGGGGCATTTGGCATGACCAGGGCACCAACATATTAGGGCAGCTCAGCAACATAAAGCAGGGGGCGGGGAGGGGGAACCGCCTCAGCTGATCCCGTATCCTGGTGACTGAAGGGGGCAGGGGGAGCTCTGATTTTCTGTGATAAGAAAACCAAAATCAAATGTCAAAATATATAGGTATTTAGAATTTATTTTATTATAATGATTGAGGCACCGGTAGGCTCCCAAATTGCCTTAAAATTGCAAATGTATCAATAAAACATTGTGTTCAACCGATATCTATATGGAGAGAGAGTGCGAGCAACATTTCATTTAAATAATAGAAATATGCAGATCTGGAGTGTTTTAATCAGACAATTTGCAATTTTTTATCAGAGAATTTGTGATTTTTAATCAGAGAAAACCTGGATCCTTGGTGATCAAGCATTGGGACAGGCTGCCCAGATAGGCTGTGAAACATCCATCCCTGGAAGTTTTCAAGAGCTGGTTGGACGGACACTGGATGGGATGGACAATCCTGCCTTGAGCAGGGGCTGGATGAGATGTGATCTTGTGAGGTCTCGTCCAGTCTGACTTCGTATGATCTTAGTCTCTAGAGAGGAACCAGGGCCCAGCAGAGCCCTTGGCACAAAGGAGACCCACCTGGCAGCAGCCCCATGACCTCTTTGTTTCCCCTCCAGCTTTGTCCAGGCTCCCATACAAACTGCTGCAGGCAGCAGCTGGGCTCAGGGTGACATTTGTGGTCCCTTGTGCTTTGTCACCCAGCAGGGATGACAGCGTTGTATCACCCCCAGACTAAACATTTATGTGTGCAGAAACCAAGCTGCCCCAGACTCTCCCCTCACTGAAAGGCAAATGTGTTCAAGCCCCGCAGGCTTCCCCCTCTTTCACCCACGGACACAGCAGAGCAGAGAGATCCCTGCCCTGTGGGGCCTCTGTCTAGCTGGGGTCTCTGGCAGCTCTGGGCTGCTCTTTTCCCTGCTCACCAGTAGGAGCACTGAGCTCCTTTGTAGGAACACTGAGCTCCCCTGCTCCTCCTAGGATTCAGGCCTCCAGGCTATCACTGGAGCCCCGTCCTTTGGGACACTCAGCACAGGTTGTATTGAGATTGCAGGGAGCATTGCTGCATGTTATAACCAGCTCCCAAACCCCTCTGTGCGCTGGAACTGGTGAGATGCATATGTGATCTTTATGGAGCAGTCCCACGGCAGCCCCCTGTGTCACTCAACACCTGCTGGAGATGTGTCTCCTGCCAAAAGGATTCACTTTGCTACCGCACGCTGGCCTGGGTGTCACTGCCTGGATACACAGATGCTGGTATGTTCAGTGCAGGTCACATCAGAGGCTCAGCTAGCACATGGAGGTTGGGGGGGTGGGGTTCAGTGTCCTGTCCTATCCTGCCCCCCCCAGTGCAAAGACTCCCGGTGTGAAAGGATCCTGGGAGGATCCTACTAGTCAGCACCCAAGGTGGGTGCTCCGCTCAACCTGCCCTAGTGCTGACATGTTACACCTACACAATCTGGCAGGGAATTTGTTTTAACACCAAGCTCCCCAATGTGAAAATTATGATTTTTTTTACAACGGGGAGAGTATGAAATATGTCTCTGAATCCAGGCTGGGCCCTGGGCTGCCCTGAGCCTTCAACACCCGTTTCAGCAATGAAACTGGGGTGAGAGAAATGTATCACTTTGGCAGATGGGGCGAGTCTCTTTCCCACCAGTTCTAGTATGATTTGGAGGACTCAAGGCAGGGTATAACCTCATCTCACCACAGCTGAAACTGGACTCTTCTCCCACTCCTGGCGACAAGCTCACTGGAGAGGTAACACCCCTCTCTTGATAAATGCATGGATGAAATTATGGCAGACAAGGTTCTTTGGGTAAATCTGGTATCTTTTATTAGATATGGATTATTATGGGTGAAATGATGTGACACAGTTGCCTGCAATAGCATCTATGTGATATATAATGGCCTAGGAGGCCCTGTCCAGTACTACATCCCTTGATGGCTCCACGGCAGGACAGCTATCTGGAAGGCAGAGTAACCCCTTTGTATCTGGGAAGCTCGGACTTGTGCAGCCATGTTGGCAATATTTTCAATACGCGGTACAACAGAGAGCTCATAATTTAGTACTGTCATATCCTACTGTCAGAGGGAATGAAGCTGCAGATGACCTGCTGTACTGAAGGCAGCACCATCCACCTCAGGCACATGGGGGTGAAGTGATGCTTGGGTCAGTGGCAGGTCAGCCAGGATCAATCAGTGCAAACATGTACCAGCTTTGGGGAACAAACCCATGCTCAGGGATTGATGTGGGAATAATAAGGGTGGCTAGAGAAGAATAAAATGCTGTTACAAACACTGGCTTTGGAAACCTGTGCTCACAAAGCAACGTTGCCCTCCTAAACTGCAGGACAGAGCCCATGACCCCAGAGGACCACTCCTGGCATGTCACAAAATACCCATGTACTCCTTGGCCTCTATGGTTTTGGTTCTTTTATCCCAGGACAGCCAGTTTTGAGGTCTCTGCAATCCCTTGGTTTATCCCTTCTGGCTCACATGATCTGGGCTCTCCTTCCATTGCCCCAGCTGTGAGCTGACTGTCTCCCATTAAGCTCATTCAGGAACTGTCCTTTCCAGGAGTGATTTTTTGGGCAGAGGTGCCAAGGTTGTGAACAAATTGGAGTACAAGAAGTGAGAAAGCAAAATGCTCCAGTTGTCCTACCAGCATCCCCTGCTCACTCAGTCCTTGCTCTTCCCAACAGTTAGTCTCAACCCACAACTACCTGCTACCCCACACAGACTACAGAGCAACCTGGGACGCTCTACCGTTACAGCACAAGAAACGAGGGACTACCTGCTGTGCCTGGGGCAACAAGGGATTCACAATAAATGTTTTATTATGATTTAAATGAAACGAGCAAACCTTTCAAGGTATAAGCATCAGCTACAAAGACCGCTCTGAAACATGAGACTGCATCACTGCCACCTTGCCAAGAAATAAGGAGAAACATCTGTCAGGGAAATTATTTCAGGAGCAATCACAGTGCACGAGTGGGGCACCTTGAAGGCAGGGCTAAGATAATCCAACTAAAACCCAGTCCTTTGGCTCAGTAAATTCCCCCATAATAGAGAAAGCCAAGAAGGGGCAGGGAGCATCAGATAATAGTTAGTAAGGGGTGATCTTGCCTTGACCTTGAGGCTGGACTAGAAGCCCCTTCCAGCCCTACTTTTCTGTGATTCTATAATAAAATATAGCATTAATACCGATAAAACTTGCCTTCCATCACCCCAGAGCAAAAGTACCTGGTGCCCTTTATCCTGCATGGAGTTTCTGGTGCGATATGAGGGAGACTTTTGCTTTGTAGCTTTTCCCACAGACAGTACATTTATAGGGGGTCTCTCCTGTGTGAATCCTTTGATGTCTAATCAGCGCTGAGCCCTGGGTGAAACTTTTCCCACACTCGTGGCATCTGTAGGGTCTCTCTCCTGTATGGATTCTCTGATGGGTGATAAGGGCTGATCTCTGGCTGAAGCTTTCATGACACATGGGGCAGGTAAACGGTTTCTCTCCGGTGTGGACCCTCCGATGGGTAATAAGGGCTGACCTCACACTGAAGCGTTCTGTGCAGTCGGGGCAGTGATAGGGCCTGTCTCCCGTGTGAATCCTCTGATGCACAGTGAGATGCGAGCTCTGGCTGAAGCTCTCTCCACAGGCTGGGCACCTGTAGGGTCTCTCCCCTGTGTGAATTCTCCGGTGCTTGATAAGCTCTGAGCTTTGCTTGAAGCCCTTCTGGCATTCGGGGCAGTCGTACGGCATCTCCCCTGTGTGGACGCGCCTGTGTTTGATCAGTTCAGAGCTCTGATTGAAGCTCTTCCCGCAGTCAAGGCACCGGTAGGGCTTCTCCCCGGTGTGGATTCTCTGGTGCCTAAGAAGGTCCGAGCTCTGCTTGAAGCCCTTGCTGCACTGAGGGCAGTTGTAGGGCCTCTCTCCAGTGTGGGTTCGCTGATGGACAGTCAGGTTTGACCTCTGGCTGAAGTTTTTCCCACATGTGGCGCATTCGTACCGCTTCTCTTTAGTGCCACGTTTTGGCGGCGCGGGGGTTTTTATGAGGTTCCCCGCGTCTCCCTTGCAGTGAGTAGATTTATTCCATTTCTCTGGGTTTCTCTGCTGCCCCTCTGTCACTTGTGGTCCTTCCCAGACTTCTCCCAGCTCTGGACTCCAGGCCACATTCCTTTCCTTTCTCCACAAAAATGTCTTGTGAGATGCCACTCGCTTGGGACTTTTCAGCGGGGGTTTCTCTTTCCTCTTTTCACTCACCATCCCGTAACCTATTGAGATACAGAGAAGATGCAGGCACAAGTCATTCCCTGTGCTGGGATGAATGAAAGTTTCAAAAAGGGGAGAAACAAAACCTAAAACTCTAGTCTTCCCCAACACAGTCAGAAGCTAAAATCTACCCCCTCCTTCCCCAGAAGGAAAAAAAAAGGACAAAAGCAGCGCTTCCTTATCTAAGCTGAATGATCCTGATCTTAGCAAGATGAGGTAGGACCGGGGAGAACTTGGTGTGAATCCCAGTCATTTATGTGAGTGATGGAGGATCTGGGAGTCCATTTAAGCAGCTCTTTACCTGGGCAGATGTCTTGCAGGTTCTCCCTTTCTGTAGACTTCTGGAGATCTTCAACCCATGGCTCTTCTCCCTGTTCCAGCTGGGTGATCACAACAGGTTTGGGAACTGCAACCTCTGGGGCTCAGAAAGGAAGCAGACAAGACCAGAGATTTACAGGTAGTCTGAGACAGAGCTGTTCGCAGATATGCGGAAAACATAGGATCTGTGCAAGCCAATGGAGGAGAAAATATTCTTGGAGTCCACCTCCAAGAGTTCATAGGGAGTTCATAGGGTTCATGACAGACGTGTGATGTTCTCGGCAGGAAATTCAGGGCAGGGGATCTGCTTCTGGGACAGAGCAAGTGTGTGGGGATCAGGATGGATTAGGAGGGGTTTGAAAGGAACAGTCTCTCTCCAAAAAATTCTGGGAACTCCAGGACAGTTCCCCCCAGAAACCCAGTGTACTAGGGAGGACTTTGGAGGAGAGGTTCATCTGGACACATCAGAGACCCCACAGCTTTCACCCAGCAGGGGACAGGAATACTTACTGAGTGAGACCACGGTCTCATAATTCTCCTGCATGACGTCCTTGTAGATGCTTCTCTGAGTGGCGTCCAGCAGAGCCCACTCCCCCTTATTGAAATAAATGGCGACTTCTTCAAAGGTCATTAACCCCTGAAACAACAAGAGTCCCCCACCTCAGCACATGCTTCCTCAGCTAGAATCTCATGAGATCAGTCATAGGCTGTCCCCACACAGAGCTGGGACCTTTCCCTGGAGAGAAGGAATTTCAGAAAGTTTATGTTAAAACCCACTGTTCCCGTGGGGAGACCATGATGCCTACGGCTGAGAACACCAGTGATTTAATCATATGACTCACAATATTTCTCTGGAGTTTAACTTTTTCCATGATCTCATCATTTTTGGCATAGAGGAACAAAATATGAATCAAGAGGGCAGGTGAGGCTGGTGCTACTTTTATTATTACTTAAATCTTGCAACATTCAAGCTCATCTCCAGACTCCAGCAGGACTGACCTCACAGTAAGAAAACCCGGAAGAAATTTTCCTTCCTGGACCCCTCCCTTTCTACGTTTCCTGTGTTTTACCCATGATACCTCCAGACTAAACCTCCTGCACTTCCCATTTCCCTTTCCCACCCTCCAGGAGATGATCCGGTTGTCACTTTTCAGTATTTCAGGGCAGGAACGGTGGTGGATAGTTCCACTAGCCTGTCATATCAGCCTCTGGCTAATAGGTTGAGGCCTCTAGCAGTGCGAGTCCAATAAATACCCAGACCGCTGTCCAAAACTGCTGGGAATTGTTGAATCTGAGTTCTGGCTGCAGAACAAACCCTCTCAGCTGCTCCCTGAAAAATTCCCTACCTGGGGTGGCTCCCTTGCAGCCATTTCTCTTCCCTTTTCCCAGGAGGATCTGGATCAAAATATGGATGTTATTCTCCAGCCTGTCAGGGTGAGAAGGATGTGAAGGCTTGGGATCATAGGAAAGTAAACCTGAAAGGGACCTCATCTAGTCCAGCCTCCCTGCTCAAGGCAGGATCATATCAACCAAGTGTCCATCCAATCTGCTTTTGAAAATTTCCAGGGATAAAGTTTCCACAACTTCTCTAGGTAGCCTGTGCCAATGCTTGACCACCCTCATAGTCAGCAAGTTCCTATTCTCCAACATACATTTCCACTGCTGTTTCTTGAGACCATTGCTCCTAGCTCTGACCTCTATTTGCCATGTCTCAGGTGGCGTTAGTAACGAGGACAGATTATTAAATTAGGAATAACCTGCCATTTTCTTTCTCCTCTGTGTCACTCACTCTCCTCTCCCTCTAATTTCCCCAATTAAACATGGGTGGTCAAATCTACTGCATTTCACACAGACTCTTCCATCTTCCCCTATCTCCCATCCATCTCTCTTATCTTCCCCTAAACTCCTACCCCATGCAGAGAAAAAGGAAATGCCACTTGGCTTCATTCATGGTCTCCCCTCAAGAAGCCTTATATCTTTTCCTTTGTTCTCCTAACTGAACCACTTCCATCTTCCCTGACCTCTAGAGCAGATTCAAGCAGAAGCTTCCTTGTTAAGATATCAATGAACCCTCTGATGGGTGCATTCTTAACAAGTGATGCTCCCTCTGCCTGAGGAAGGGCGTTTGTACCTGAAAGCTTGCAAAGAAGAATGTTTCCATCTATTTTAGTTGGTCTATTGAAAGATATCAGATTATCCAAAAAACCTTGTCTGCCTATGTCCTTAGACCAACACAGCTACAACCAACACTTCTTAACAAGGAAGCACACTCCCACAGGTTGCGAGAGTGCTGGTTCCTGGGGCTGTAAGTGCAGACAGTCACTGTCTTGCCTGTCCTTAGCACTTTCCTTGAGCTCTTTCCCCTTTACCTGGTGTCTCCGGTTCAGCTAGGAATCCACCGATTACAAAAGAAGGGGTCACAGAGCTGCAATCCAGCTTTGCTGTGCACAATCAGAGCCCTCTGTTGGTCACAAAAGTGTGGCCAAGAAGATGCTGTTAAACAGCTGGGAGTATTTCTGGCCTGTATTTGTCTCATTAAATCCTGTCACCAGAGGGCTCTGGATATTGCTAAGGGAGAGGAGGCTGCTATTGTTCTCTCTCTTTTTCTTTCTGTCTCTCTGCTCCGGATATGGGGGGGATTGAGCTTCCTGGGTTCCAGGCTGTTGTTACTGCTTCCTTCTCTGTTGTGGTCTGAGGTCCCAGGATAAGCAGCTGCAGCTCCCCTCAGCAACATCTGATTGTAGCCAGTCCTTGTTAAAACTCCTGTGGGGCTCAGCCGAGGAGGGTATTTACTCTGGTAACTGGACCTAGCCCCCCTAGGGCAGCCCTGGACTTTGCTGACACCCACTCCTGAGTCAAAACGTCTCCAGGTAATGCAGAGATTACTGGGAAAGTGCTGGAACTGGGCAGGGAAAGTGGCTTTATGTACACACAACTCCTTCCTCACTCCTATCTCTGCTCCATGAGTGTCGGAGACCCAGATCTGCCACTGTCAGACACACAAATAGTCTCTTGTTCCTGCTGGCACTTGTGGCAGTTGATTCAGCTACCAAAGAGTAAATGCAGGAGTGGATGAGTGACCAAGTGCCCTAGCTAGAGGCAGGAACAGAAAAGGAGAGATTGGATGCAGCAGCAGGAGAGATGCCCAGGTCCCAGCTCATCCCAGATGCATTCACTACAGCCTCCCTAGGCAGAGTCACTGTCCTATACATAAGGTGAGAAGCAGAGAGAGGAAAGCCACTTCCTGCCCCTGTCTGATCCCCTGGTGACTCCTCTCTAGCCTTCCTCTTGAATCTGGTTCCCTGGGAAATCAAGAGGGAGAGATACAGACAACCACAATGAAGAACACAAGAGCATAGGATTTGGTGAGATGCTCTGAAAGGAAGGGACCCTGAATTATATTCTAGGCCCCTTCTCCTAGGGAGGCAGAAACTTGCCCAGTGCTGTTTATCCACTTGATTCAGTGAACGATAGTGTAACTAGGGTGGGGTGAGTGGGGCACCTGCCATGGCCCCAACTAGGAAGGGGCATCAGGGTCCCTCCCAGCCAGAGTCTTTGTAGTAGCAAGGGAAGAAGCACAGCTAGGGTGTATACACTCCATGATGCTTCCTTGCATTGTGGGGTGTATCTTGGGGGGGTGAGCGGGGCAAGTGGAATGGTGCACCCTCCTGCCAGAAACGCTGCTTGGTATGCTGAACTGCCCAGGTCCTGTGGCCTAGCACGGGCAGTGCAGAACTTCCCTTGCTGTGGCAAAGACTGCCAGTGGGGGGGATGCTGGAAGTGCTCCCATTCCCCTTTCCTCTACCCCAGACCCTTTACAGTGGTAGAGCAAGCCCACTGCTGCTGCTGCTGCTGCTTGGTAAACAGTATGCCCTTATTGCGAAGAAGTCTAACGACATAATGGGCTGCATTAGTAGACGTGTTGCCAGCAAATTGTGGGGAGTGATTTTTTCCCCTTTATTCGGCACTAGTAAGGCCACATCTGGAGTACTGTGTCCAGTTTTGAGCCCTACACTGCAGAAAAGACGTGGACAAATTGGAGAGAATCCAGTGGAGGGCAACCTCCTTGGAGGTTTTTAAGACCTGGCTAGACAAAGCCTTGGCTGGGATGATCTGCTTGGCGGTGGTTCTGCTTTGAGCAGGGGGTTGGACTAGATGTGACCTCCTGAGGTCCCTTTCAACCCTTATTTTTTATGATTCCATGATTCTATGACCCAGAGTCATAAGCACAATGAAGCACCATATGGTGTATTTGGGGGTAGGAGAGTGAGTGGGAATGGTGTCCCCTCCACTTTTGAGGAGTCCACTCCCCTCCCCTCCCCTCCCCTCCCCTGCCCTGGGTGCTCAGTTTGTGTGCTATGCTTCTGCCAGTGACTATTAAATACACCATGCAGTGAACCAGCTTCAAGAGGAAGGCTGGGAAGGGGACTGGGATGCCTGGCCTATGGCCTTGAAATCAGAGCATTTTGGTGGGAAGGAGAAGTTACAGGTTCAAACCCCTCTGAGTGAGGGGAGCCAAAGATCCAGATTTCTTTCAAGTGTCTTGGACATTCACCTGTTGGGCTAAAAGGTGAGAAGGCCCTCCTCCTTCATTTTTCATTCGGCAGGTAATTCTGTTTCTTCCTGTGACAAAATAGTATCCCAAACGGTGTCTTAAGTGACAATAACTGCAGTAAAGTTGCTCAGTATGGACCACTTAGGCATATAACGTGATATAGGATTTAACCCATAGTCATAGCAGCTCAAAAATTTGTTTAAGATTTACTCTTCTTCTTTCTGGAATGCTACTCCATCTCATATGATCCACTCTAGATGAACTTTGACTCCAGGTATTTATTTAAAGGTAGTATTTCCCTGATATTTTTTTCTGACATTTTCTTCTTTGCTCACCATCATTTGCTTTGGTTAGCACAGTGCTTAAGGTTGTCATTGTGCTACTTAATTTAAGGTTTTAATAGCAATAATTGAAAATAATAATCAATGCTAGTAGCTAAGTCCTTACAGAGTGATTCCTGAGTTACAAGCTTGTTTTCAACTTGTTGTCCAAAGATGTTATCCATATGGGTTTTATTTTTATTCCATGAATTAGATAAATCTTTCTTTAAAATCATGAATAATGCAATGTATGTTACTATACTAATCCCGTTGTCCATGGGTTTTTTTAATTGTAAACTGCTCTGAGCCTTTTGGATACGGAGGGATATAAATCTAATAAATAAATAATGTAACCTATACAAATACATACTGTTGTTCTTTTGTTATGCTGGAGTGTATTTGCCACAATTTTTTTAGGCGGTTATATGTTGTTCTGACTGCTCTGATAGCTCCTGACACAGTCAAGAGTGAGTCACAATGTCATCAGTGCCCAGCTGCCATCATTGTTTTCTATCACAGGACTTCCTTTGTTCTCATTGTGATTTTTTAATTTTCATTTTTCATTTAAAAATGTGTGTGTGTTTTTTTTAAACTTTTCCTATAATGCACATTATCTGGTTGCTGAGACGCACACAACTCTGGTATCTATGGGGATATCCACACTACATAAAGTTAACCATATGTCTAATTTTAATCTATATAAAAGTATTTGGTAAGTAGATTGAATTTTATTAGTAGATGCTAAGAGTTATGAACCCAAAAAGATGACAAAGCCAATAGGGAAATACAGAGCACCAGAATGAGGGACTAACAAGACGAATGGGGGTGAGGAGGGGAACACAACTAGGTTACATAAAACACAATGTTAGCCAACTAAGCCTGGAGGTGGGGGAATTTGTGATGCTTAATGTGCAGTAGGCTAATTTCACGGCACATTAGCATGGCTTTTGTGCATGGCTAATGCGCAGTAGAATTAAGTCTACTGTGCATTAAGTGTCTTGTGTAGACGCGCTCACTGATCCTCTTTCCTTTTTTGTTCAGTGAATTCAACAGTCCTGTGTTTACACAAGTATGTGGCTTTTGATTAAAAAGTGAACTAAGTGACATACTCCCTTTGTTGTTAGCATGTTAGCAGAGAAAACGTGAGGCTAAAAGGTGCCAAAAACAGGAAGCCAACATAACGAACCCAGTATCTATTATTTTTAAAAATCACTTCATTTTTGGCATCTGATTCCTGAGATCAGAACAGTTGGGGACGTGTATGTTATTCTCTTCATTTCAAGGAAACAACAGGGAGTAAGAGGCTGTAGCTCCTCAAATCAGTGACTGAATGGTGACTAGAACGCAGATCTCTCGCTCCCTATCCACTATCACTCACTCCCTATCCACTGCCTGTGTTTACAGAGCCCTGCTGTAATGACAAACCAATGTGGAATTGGCCTACAATGGGGGAGAGAAATAAAATTTCATACTCCCCAACAGAAAATGTTGTGCCTAATTTTAACCTATTTAATCAAATGCTGTAATTTTTTAAACACAGAATTTTAAACAATTTAACCTAATTTTTAAAATGTTATGGCATTTCCTAATAAAACTTCAGGGAAAAAATCAAACTAGGATACATATATGTGTATAAACCCAGGGTGCGCAGAATTCAAACTCCATATAAGCAGGGCATACTTTTTCTACAGAGCTCTCTTATGGAGCAGGAGATGGTGTAATGAGGCACACTGGACGCAGAGGAAAAACAAAGCCTGAGAGTTGCGTGCACAGGTGAGGTGTCTGTTTGGAAAGCTAATTTGGAAAATATGAGTGGGTGCAGGAATCTGCTGGCATTTATAGAAAGCAACTTGAGCTCCCCTCAGCTGAGGTCCCATTGTCATAGCAGGCATCAACATCTTCTGGGTGTTCAGATAACGTTTGGTAGAAGAAGTGGTTCCTTTGTCAGATTTGACCCCCAATTTCAGATCGTTGTTGTCATCTTCTTTTTACTTAGTTGGGCTATTCCTCAATTTTCATGATTCTTTATTTTCCAGAACAAAAAATGACTTGGGTGTGGCTATCTCCTCTTTATTCCAGCAGATGATAGGGCAGTGAATGACAAGGAAGGGAACTCTCAGCAGGAGACAAAGCTGTATGAGATGTTTTCATGCAGATCTCAAGAGAAGGTTTCCCAGCATCCTGAGCAGGCAGTGACCTATGAGAAGCGATGCAAGCCAGAAGGTCAGGAATACCGCCTTATAGAAGAGCCACCAGACAAGCCTACGTCCACCATGAGAGATTGCAGGGAGGCCAAACCCCATGCAAGAAACCACATGGCAGAGGAACCCTTTAACTGCACTCACTGCAGGCAAAGCTTCAGTGGGAGCTCAGACCTCCTTGTACATCAGACTTCATATTGGAGACAAACCCTATAAATGCCTGGAGTGTGGGGAAATCTTTAATGGGAGATCCTTCTTGATCCTGTACCAGAGAATCCACGCTGCATAGAAACCCTATGAGTGCCCTGGCTGCAGGAAGAACTTCAGTATGAGATCAACCCTGATCAAACACTAGAGGATCCACACAGGAGAGAAACCCTACAGATGCCACAAGTGTGGGAAAAACTTCGCCTGAGCTCCATGCTCAGCATGCACCAGCAAATCCACATGGGAGAGAAGCCCTACGAGTGCCTGGGGTGTGGGAAGAGCTTCTGAGTGAGCTCCTATCTTGCCCATGGGGCAATGCACCACGCAGACAAACCCTTTAGATGCCCCAACTGAGGGAAACACTTCAGCATGAGTCGAGCCCTTATTGTGCACCAGAGAATCCACATGGGAGAGAGACCCTTTAAATGTATGGACTATGAGAAATGCTACGCTCACCTTATTACCTACCGGAGGAGCCACACGGGTGAGAAGTCCTACCACTGCCCAGACTGTGGGAAGAGCTTCAGCAACAGCTCGGACCATCTTAGACACCTGAGAATCGACACGGGGGAGAAACCCTACCACTG